CGCTCACTCAGATGGTAACTCAAATCACAAGAACTAAAATAAAAATTCGAAGATGTTAACAAGTAGTAGAAATCAAACTACAGAACTCAGTACATCCTTTTCATTAAAACTGCATAGAAATCTAGTTGCAGCAAAGTAAAAGCTGTTATGCCATGTAAATCGGCAATAACTGTGAAAGTAGAAGCTCGTCTACAGAGATGATGGCAATAGCCTAACTTTTCTTCTAAAACCCGATATTTGCATTCCTTCATGTGCACTACAAAATTTAAATATTCTGGCATTGACAATTAGAGGAATGAAGTCTTATAGGAAAGCTAAAATTAAACTTAACTTGTTAGTTAATAAATATAAATCCCTACATCCTTAAGATGACTTTCTTTGATTCCAGGTTATTTTAATCTTCTCTCTATATAAAAAGGAAATTAAATTAATGTTTCACTGAGGTACTTAAAAAATTAAAGAATAATTAAAGAATTCTACTGCATCAGAAATAAATCAAAAATTAATTCTATTGATTCCAATCTTTCGTTGGTGTTTACACTGATGGTTTTCAAACTTGGTCTTTGTATTTTAATTATGAATATCAAGTTGTGAATGTCCCCTATATTTGCATATAACTTGTAAGTTTCATCTTTTAAAATTTAAAAACTGAGATCTTAAGTGATTGTAAGATTGGAGATAGGTTGTTCTAACTCACATTTTCTATGCAACAAGATATTAAAAATGAATTGTGACCGTTATCTGTTTATATTTAGCTGTAGCTTCTGACTTCGTTTATGGCAAATTCTGTAATGATACTTGCTTTCATTATTAATTAAAATTCTTAGCTACCTAATGTGGGGGGATATAATTTAAAAAAAAGGGAAATCTGAAAGCTTTCAGATTTTATATTACACCCAAATTTTTTTATGTCTTGTATGTTACCTTGTAGAGTTGAGGTGGGTTAACTTCTATCTGTATATTGGAGTAGCAGCAAACTACGCAGAAGAAGGGTTCAAACCCTTTATTAACTCTTTAAAATTTACAATGCGTCAACTCAACGCTAACAAACTTCGCCTTTACTTGGGCGGTAATGAAAGTCAGATAATTGAAATTAAAAGTTGAAATGTTTAACAAGTCATAAACTATCCTATAGGGCTCAGTGAGATAGCGAACTTCAAACCCCCTTTTAAGCTAGTGGAAGCAATGCAATTAAGCCACTTGAACCAGCAAATGTACCTACGGCAGAGACCGCAGTTAGAGCCTAACTCTCCCTTTTCCCTACCGAAACTCGGTTTTTAACTACTTCCTTCAACATAGAAAATTTGCATTTGTTCACTTGCGCTACAACATTTAACTATTCTGGCACTGACAATTAGGAAAATGAATGCTTATAGGAAAGTTTCAGATAAAAATTTAAATTATTAGTTAAAATAAATATAAATCTCTACAACATTTATTTATCAAATATCATGTTCTTCACACTTAAACCATAAAATTCAATTCAGAAGTAATATCACAAAATAATTTAAAATGATCTTTAGAGTAATCATCAAGAAATCATTTGTTTTCTTCATCATTATTTACTTAACCCCTTAACTGCTGTCGAAAACGTACAAGATACATTTCCCAGTGCCGTAGTTTTTCACACAGACACGAATAATTATGTGATGTATTAGGGGGAAAATAAGTGCAAGTTTTACTTTCTTGTTGTTTACTTTACAAATTGTTTACTTTCACAAAATAAAGAATAAAAGAAAAAAATGAATTTTCAAAATTTAGTGTTTTGAGTAAAAGTATAATAAAAAATGTAAGTATAATAAAAATGATGTTTTTATAATAAAAAATATCCTTAAAATGGAGTTTCGATCAATTCATTTTTAGCCAAGTAAAGTGTAATACAGTCAAAAGTCGTTAATCTGTACTCGTCGGGACTTCGGCGACTCCGGATTATCGATTTTTCCAGATTATAGATCATCAGTTTAAACCTAGTAAGATGGCATGCAGAAATTATAAAATTAAAAATATGAAACTGTAATTTATGAAATAAAGAGCAATTATGATCTAAAGGGTATCAAAATTCACAAAAAAAGCTTAATATTTATTTTGTTTACTTATTAACATTTCTTTCAATGTAGTTGTTTAAGTTGCTTCGTTTATATGATACTTTCTCTTTATTCTATAAGCAGACATAATTTCTTGTTTAGTTACCAAATTCCGCGGTTCAAGTCGTTCGATATTCTGTGTCGAGAATACCTAATTTGTCAATCGAAATTTTTTCGTTTTCAATAACCTCTGTGTGACTTTCTTCACTATCGGAAGCGAATTATAATGACGAGGAATTTGATTTAAATCGTATCAAAGACGGAGTACATCGAGATGAAATCTACATTTAGTAAAGAATATAAGCCAAATAAAATAAAAAGATCTGCCCTGAAGATAAGGATAGTGCTGAGACAACTTCCCAATCATTGTGCGCCGCGCTTCCCCCCTACCACGCCGCAGAGCAGCGTGAAATTGATAAACAGATTTCGGAATGGTTATAGAAACAAAGGATATACATTTATCCATTTTTTGCAGCAATTCACTTTTGTTTAATGGACTTCAAACATACTTTCGCTTTGTAGATCCCTTTTATATTAGTAAATATATATCAAATTCTATTTGAACATAATCGAAGTTCAAGCTTCTTTTATAAAATTGCTCTAACAGTCTGCAAAAAATAATAAGACGGTTCCAATTCGAAGATTAAGGAACAACGCAATCTGCAACATTAACTGAATTAGATAATTTTAGTTATACCATCCGTTATACATTAAACGCGCATGTGTAAACATATTTTGCGCATGTGCACATGCATATTCGGAGCCATGCGTCAAAGTGACGCATGCGCATAAGGTTTGTAGCTTTGAGGTCCGGATTATAATCATTGCGGATTATGGGTGTCCGAATTAACGACTTTTGACTGTATCAGGTTTCATTGTTATACGTTGTGAAATCAGTATGCCTAAAAAACACATATATTTCTTCTGAACTAGTTGAATGCCACGATTTTGTTCTTGATTTTTCGTTTGCGAGGTGTTGGTTCATACACTCATCTACAAAACGGTTAGTTTCAGTAACAATATGAAGCATGAGCAGTTCATCAAAAAATAATTCAAAAAAGATAAATGGATTTGAAACATCCGTTATATCGTTCTTTATTCCTGGAACCTACTACAAAGAGTAAAGCAAAAATGGAGGACACAGAATTAAAAAAGATACGTTTTACTCGAATAACACCAGCCAATGGCCGTGCAGTCATTTCTTTCACGGCTTCTGAACTCATTTCTTTCACGGAAACTGGAGAGAAGACACATCCTTCTCTCCAGTTTCTCCCCAGACTTCTCTGGTAGTTCAGTCCGAGGTTAAAATCCCTCGATCGGGCTGGCTGCATGGGCGTTTTCATGGTTTTCCTCGTGTGTAATGTGTATACGAGCCAGTTTCCCTTAGAAAGTCCTCCACGAAGGCATCCCTTCCCTTAGGCAATAGCCCCGAAGGCTTTGCATATTACACACACACACACACACTCTCCCCAGACTTCTCTGAAACAGTATCCTCCTTTGCATACTTTGTCAAGGTCATTGTGGTGTTGCATTCCAAAGCTTTGCGAATAATTTTATGGATAACAATGCAAAGCAAATTATAGTATTTTCGAAGGGCCTATATATACGCCCATAGCAGTTAACGCATTGGCTGAGTAATGCGTATATATATACGTCAGCGGCAGTTAAGGGGTTAAAATATCTTCAAAACTTGATAAAAATGTTCATAAGGGAATAAAATAGAAATATGTAAACTCTAACAGTTCACCAAAATTTAAGTACTATTAATCGACTAAAAAAATATTATAGAAGAGAACATTGGTATTGGATCGTCTTTTATCTATGACATCAAAAAGAGAATAGAAATCATTATTATTTACAGTATGAATCTCTTTCATCTAAAATAACAGTACTTGACAAACTATGGAAAAAAAATTGAGCTTGACCAGCAGAACAGTGTATTATATAAACGATTCAATGCAAAGAGATCTGGAAATATGCCTGTAACAGGACTAATAGAAAGAAGTTAAGAAGCTTCACAAAGAAATCAATTTTCCAAGAAAAACAGCACTTTGTTTTCAGGAATCTCTGAAGCAAGTAAACATTTGAACTGATTTGTAAATATTTCATATGCATTCACAATAATGATAATTTCAAAACAAAACTTATTAAATGCAATTAAAACCATGAATAAATTTATTTACTTATAAATTTGAGCTTGTAGCTTTTTCAACATTGAACTATTTTAATTGATTAGTTGATCAGTCAATTAAAATCAGAATTTAAATCAATGATTTTATTCATCTAATTAAATCCCTTTGCAATGAAAGCTTTCAATATGTAAAACAAATTAAACTAGTTTATGGTAACACGCTAAACTGTTATTATTTGAAGTATCATGTATCATCTGGTACCTGGTTAATATGTATTATAAAAAGAAACTTGCTTTTATTTTGTGTCAGCCCAACGTATCACAAGCCCATTATTGAAATGGGCTTGTCATTTATTTTCTCAACTTGTTCAATTTGTAACTTTTTTTCTTATTCAAAATGTGATAATGGGTTTGATATTTGCTGTCTGTGTCTAAAACATGCTATATTTTAATCATAGTTAATGCAGGATGTTTTGGATTTGGTCTGAAGTATATTCATTATTTATGTGTCATGTATTTTTTAAGAGTAGTTCATTGTAAAAAACTTCAAAACTAGATTTTGTTTTTTTAACAATTCTTTATTTTTACTCATTAATATTTTTTGTTGCAGCATCTTCATGATGGCCAAAAATATCAAAGCAATCTAATAAATTCTAGGTATCTTTTAGAAAAGGTAGTCTTTTTTTTAATTATTTATATTATTTTTAAGTTTAAATATATTGCAAAGTCTTTTGCATGTTAATAGCTATTAATTTTCATTTTGTATTAAAATTTAGAATTCATATGCTAATGTTGAATTTTATTAAACTATATATCATTTTAAGAATAATAAATTTACTTTGTAAATATTTGTTTTTTAGAATAAAAAGGCTTATGAAAAGTCTTTTAAAGAAGCTGAGAAAGCCAATGATACTTTTATAAAGATTGATGCTGATATTAACCTCTCTAGAGCTGATGTGGAAAAAGTAAGTCCCCCCCCCATTAATCCCCTCCTGTTTTGTTATTTTTGCTCCTTTTCATATTTAATGTTCATGATTGTAAATATGTCATATTATAGTAAAATTATGTGTAATAGACTTCTAATATTTTCCACACACCTTAGGAATGAGGGCTGTGCAGATCAACAAATTTTGCAAATTATAATTTTTCTTAGTTAAATTTAGTTTTTCTTTCCTTCTAAATTTTTAGATTCAATTTGAAATGTTTGATAGTAAGTTATCTGTGTTTACTGTTAAAAAAGAGAGTGCTTACATATATGCAGAAAATGCTAAATGATATCAATAATAAAATAAAATTGCTTCTTTGCCTAAAATATACACATTTTTGTTTAAAAGTTTATTTGCATAGGAAAAATTGCTGTTGCCATATGACAGTTAGGAGTATTAATTATGTATGTAATATAGAGCATTATTTATAAAAAAACTGAATTTTCTTTTTCAATGTACCAAAATTAGTTTTGATACAGTTTACTGACATTCCAGTAACTGCAATAAAAATGTTTTTATGTAAATATTTTTTATCATTTTATTCATTGCACCTCCAAAAATTTATCTAAAATAATATTTTAAAACAAAAATAGAAGTTTTTGAGATTTTATTTTAATGAAAAATTTGGTATAAAATAAGATAGGAATGTGTATAACATTGGGTGCTAGAACTGATATGAGGAACATTTTATGTTGGAATTGTTAAATATTTTTAAAATGTAACTTTTTGTAAAAAGTATTACTTTTAATATAATTATTCAAATTCTATTTTTTCAATAAAATGTGAAAATTTAACATATATATATAAATGAGTATTTCTTCTTTAAAGGCACGCATGCACGCTCAACTAAAAAGTCGAACTTGTGAAGACAGTAAAACTGAATATGCCAATCAACTACAAAAGACAAATGAACTACAAAGGGTTCATTTTACAGACCTTATGCCAAATATTTTCCAGGTAATTTAAGTATTTGTGGTTCTATTTTTATTTATTTATTTATTTTTTTCTAGTATTTTACAGGATGGTTAAAAAGGTCATGCATTTCACAGTAAGCAAATATAGTTTGCTGGTTTGATCCACAAGACTTGCAATTAATTATTATTAATATTTATTAAATGCAGTATCATATCTTTACAACATATGCTTTAAGTGACTGCGCTCTTCAGTAATGCATATCCATACTCTTTTACCGTATTTGAGACCATTTTCCAGAGCACCCATTTGCTGATGCTTTAAACAACATACTAATATTCTTTGTCATGTTCTCCAGTGTGCGAAAATTGTTCGTATAGACTTATGGTGTTTCTACAGGAAAAAAATCTACTAGTGACAAATCAAGTGAAGTGAGAATCATAATCCATTTGAAATCATACAGCTGCCTTCCCCCCCCCCAAAAATCATCTAAGAACTGAATGGTTTCATTGGATATGACAAGTGGCATCATCGTGTTAGACCAAATCTCACATTTTCTAAATTTCAAGAAGTGCAATAAACTTTGTAATGAGGCTTTGGTATACTGTGTTCACTGTAATTTCAAAGAAAATGTAGCCCACTATTCAAAGGTGTGATACAGCATACACTGCCACATTAGGATATTTCTGATGAAAGTTCACAACATACGAGCTGGATAAATATTGCTCATCAATAAAATTATTTTTAATTGCTTTTCGGAAAATGATATGTCAGGATAACAGCATAAACAGAGCTGTAAGGAAGACATCATATGACTACTAGATGATAGATGGCATGTATGCTCATTGTTAATCTCTTACATTACAATTTAGTGTAACCAATACTGTTATTACAACTGCAATTAAATTTAGAATAAGACATTTATTTAGTGTGCATGGCATTTTTATCTCTGTCTGTCTCTACATTTTAATTTTTATTTCTATCTCATGGGAGCAGAAAGGAGAATTATTCTTTTTGACCTTTAAAAGAAAATACTGTTAAATGTTTTATTGATAAATAATTTTTTTCATGTATTAAACAAGAACATTAATCATTCTGATAATTTATGATAAATACATATTTCTAATCTACTCATTTAGCATCCAGTAGTAGAATATTCTTATCTTAAAATTCTCTTCAAAAAGTGTATTTTCCTTGGAAATATATACACGTAAAATAATTATAAAAAAAAATTATAGCTTGTAAAGTTCCTCACTGTGTAATTCTAAGTTACTGTTGGAAGTGAAGAATCTTAAGAACTGATAAACGAATAATTGCTTGAGTTAGTGTGACAGGAAACAACAAGAGAGAAGGGTAAACTAACCCTTTATTATTCCAACTAAAAGTTAACAAAACTCTGCCTTGGAGTGTTCAATAAAGCCGACACTTCGGCTTGAACTTAAGAGACTAAGAATAATACTAAACTAATCTGAACTAAAGAGATATAGCCAAAGCTATCAAGATTCTAACAGAGTTGACCCCTTAATGTTAATAGACTGCGAAGCTATCAAGGGCCTAAATAGTATGGCAGAGTGTAATAATAGCTTACGAAAGAGTAGCCTAAAAAGGCAGATGCGTGCAGCCAGAATACCTGGTATCTCTCTCCCTACGACCAAAGAACTTCGCTGTTAAATACCGCTCTTCCTCATTATGTAGTCAAACATGGTTCCAAAACTGCGTTCAGGCTGAAAGTGGCAAGTTGAAGTTGACAGGAAAGGAAGTTTAGCTCAAAATTTAACTGCTAATAAAATTAACATAATCCTTATAAGCTGTTTTGTTGTGTAAACATGTAATTTTGTTTTGCAATATTCAGATAATTTCCTGCTTTCCCCCCCCCATTCAAATGTGCTTCTAGAAAACAAAAGTTGCTAAAGCTTTTAAATATAACCATTATTATTATATCTGAAGTTGAATTTGTACGGGAATATATTTGTTTTGAAATTAAGTAAACTAAACAAAGTTTATGATGCACTTTTATCGTAAATTCTGTTAGGGCATCCTTGTGAACATTTTCGAATCTGTGAACGCTGATGAAGTTGCGTAAGGTGCTGCTAACCCTCATGAAATAATCCTATAATGCTTATTAAACCCACCAAGGGCAAAGTTCAAAAATCACTGAATAGTGAACTTCAACATAAAAGTTCACAGAACAGGCCCTGCATTATAAAATGTATCTCTATTATAAAATGTTGCAATTGAACAGTTAATGTAAAGCTGTAACTCCATCCTTATTACATGTTTTATAATCTGTATGTTATACCAATAGATGTTTTATAAAGCAAAAGCTATTAGGAGCCAGTTTCTTTTTTTAGAAAAATATTTTAAATAAATTTAAAATTCTTTCTAAATACTTATCTGAACATACATAAACAATAATAATAATACTGTAAAGAAAAAATTTCAAATTATATTTTTTTTCTATCTGGAATCTAAAATTTGATACCTGAAAGACTTTTTTTGGGGGGGGGGGTTGGGGTTATACTTTGTTATTCAAACATATTGATACCTAAATGTTAAATTTTTAGACTAATATTTATTTAAACCAGTTCTAGCATGTTTAATTAATCTTTAAGTAAATTATTTTAATTTAAACTGAAAATAAACAAATTATATAAATTTTCTAAGTTTTCGGAAAAATGTTCCAAATAAAATAAATAATGACAATTAAGTCTTATATTTATTAAATTTTCCTTCAACACATAAACAAAAATAGATGTGTTTGCATGTAATCAAAAACTTCTTTATTTCTTACTATAGTATGAATTGTTGATGCTTATCGGTCAGTTGGGTTCTTTTCTTAATAATTTTCAGCTATGAATTAAAGCTGTTCACATATAAGTGTATTCCCAAACAAAACAATTAATTCTTAGTGCAAAAATTAATAAGTGGGTTTATTTATTTTTTCATGAGTATGAATAAAAGGTAATAAAATCTATATCTTCAGATCTTTGAATAAGATTTACACCACACTGTAAGCTATTGTAATTAGCTCTATTTATAGATTTTTTGGTGTATTATTCATGTTTGTTTTTAGTGGTTATGAAATAAATGTAAATTCAGGACTTCAAATAACTGAAATCTTCAAATCTTTGCAACAAATATATAACTGAAGTGTATTAGCCAACAGCAAAAAAAATTGCTTCCATCACTGAATGTGGGGTGAAGATTACCAGTTTGAGACCTCTATTCTACATCTGGCTTTTGTCTTTAATTAAACAGTGTTAAAAGAATATATCAAATTGTGAGATTAGAAATAACTTACAAGCACTTTTATGCATGTCCATCTCTATAGCAAATAGTTATTGTAATATAATCCTTCTTTTCAGGAATAAAAGCATTAATTACAATTTCAACAGAAGTTATTAGTAGTTTTTTAAAGAATACAATAAAAAATAGTGAAAAAATTATCTTATTTATCCTTATCACATACTACTTTTAGCAAAAAGTATAATGTATGTTAATGCTTTTGGGAGCCATGATATATATATATATATGAATAATTATTTGGTGTGCAGTTCAGTATAATTTTAATCTGCCTTAAAGATGCAGAAGCAGGGAATCACTTAAGAAAGAAGGGGGGAAGCACTTAAGAAAATCTAACCACTTTTACTCTATGTTTGATTTAATTAAAGTTAATAGGGCCTAAAGAAACTTTAAAATCTGAAATGTTCTAGAATTTTCAATTGCATATGTTTAGATTGTCTTGGCAATGTTGCCTGTAATGTGTTGTGTCTGGTTTTTGAATTGATTATGAGTGAATACATTTGTATTCTAATATCCAGAAGCAAAATTGCATGTTTTTGATTAGCTGTTAAGTATAAAGCTATGAAGTGCTTTTTGTTCTTTTGTTTTTCTGTACTTATCATGAAGTGTATTTATGTAATTATGTGTATTGCAACTTTATAATTTTCATTCTGTAGCAACTTCAAGATATGGAAGAAAGGAGAATTGCATGTGTACAAAGTGTAATGAAGAGGACAGCAGACGTGCACAAACAGGTTCTACCAATCATCCAGAAATGTTTGGAAGGCATTGTCAATGCAGCAGAATCTATTAATCCTCGAGAAGTTAGTTTTGTTCACAGCATATTATGTTTTTTCTCAATGTTTAGTACTTAATTTCATTTTAATGTTGTTAATGAATTATTAGAGTGAATTCATATTATTCACACTATGGTAGTTGTATCCTTGACCATTCTGAAAGAAAATTTGAAAACTCTAGACAGTCAGTTCCAGTTCTGTGAAAAAGGGAGAGGTTCAAACCTAGTTAATTGCATTATAATATAATCAGTCTAGCATATGTTATTGCTTGATTGAACTAAAATAGTAAAATTTTAGCTCATTGTGTTGTAAAGTTTTAAAAAATAAGTAATTTTGAAGAGCATCTTAAGTTTTATGGTGCCTTGTGATTACCCACACTTCATTAAAAAGCCATTAACTCACTGGTGATTTGCAGAAGCTTTTAATAACAATTTATTAGAAAGAGACATTAGAGAGAAACATTAGTTGAAGTATCTGTGCATTATTACAACAGTGCATCCAGTACTACTATTTTTTCATTCTTTTTCCTTACAAAACACGCATGCTTATCATTTTATTCTGTAATTCTACCCGTGCACACACTGATCTGTTTTAAAAAAAATCAGAGCTGCATAAACTTGGTACCAAAATCTTGAAACAAGAAGAAAAAAACACATGCGCAATGGCTTTAACCCTTTACCAGTGTCACCCAAAATGCAGTTGCACCAAACTGACTTCAGACAGACGAAAAATTAGTGTTTCTATTCTGTGAAGCCCAAATGAGCTCATTCCATTTATCAAAGGCACAATACAATTAATTCACTGTTTTGTCAATAAATGACGATATTGTCTGTTATTTATTCAAAAGTGGGGTGGAATTATCTGTAAAGTTGTTTATTGGGAATAAAAGAATAAAAATATCTTTCCATTTTTGACACACAAATATACTGCACAGGAAAGGAGTTAAACAAGCTATATTATGGTTCACAAGTGCAGAAAGCTATGCTTAAGGTTTTGCTGAAAGCAATGGAAATCTCAGTATGCAGTTCACCACTATGCTAAAACAGTGAAATTCCCATAGTAAGGGTCATAATCTGCTGTCTCACGTGTGAAAATGCCTGGAGAAGTGTGGAGTCGGGGGGGGGGGAAGAAGCTCTGGTTTGCCACATGAATATTTTTCAGTGACAACATGAGTTACATAAAATTATTTTTTGCCAGTATGTTACTTTGCTCATCAATACCTTTTTTGCAGCTTTTTGATGGGGTGTGTAAATAATTAGAAAATGTCAGTTTTTCAATGCAGGCATCTGAAAAAGCAACTGCCTTCACTGAAATTAAAATCATGAATCTTCCAACTTCTAGCTAGTGAGACAAACTACCATGAGAGTATGGGTGTATGGGGAGAATGTAATAATTTCTTTCATTTTTCTCTGTTAAAAGGGCAACTGGGGAGACACACAATACCCAGCTAACCAGAGCTAGGTGGTGATGAGTAATCTACCAAATTTTAGTTTCTGCACCACTGTAAAGACCATCAAATTTTTCCAGAATGTGAAAATTTTAAGAATCAACTGTGCCCTGTCATGACTTTTCTAGTTGCTAGCTGGATGTGCTAACTAGGTACATTAACCATTTAACCAGCAGTGATGGGACCGTCCAATTATGGATAAGAGATGTAGCTAGATAATTGATTATACATTTCTATAACTTACTTTTGCTGATGTTTTGTGATGCCATCTGTAGGAACTGCAACTTACAAAGTCCATCTGTGATATTTTTATATATCAGCAAAAATTAAATAAAATGATAGTGGATATCTTACAGATTGTTTAAAATTAAAACACATAACATAATTTTATATTTCACAAAAACAAAATTAAACAACATTTAAAAATTACCATATTTATTATCACACAGAAATTATGGATTTCTTAGTATGATGGTATATTACTTTGAGTATCATCTTGCTTATAACATTGTTGCAATTTAAAAAAAAAAAAAAAAAAAAAAAAAAAAAAAACTTTTGTGTTATACAATGAAGCTTCATAATATCATGTGCAGACCTAGAAGGATGGTCTGCATCCATCTAGATGGATGCATGTGACGGATCCATCTAGACCTAGACCGATGGTCTGCATCCGTCTAGGGTCAGCAATTTCATGGGAAATATTATGAAAATTAGCAATTCTTTGTTAGCTTCCTTCCAGATAACCTTCTTACTCTGTATGTGATCTTCATGTCTGCCTTTTCTCCTCCTATCATCTTCCTCCCTTCCCAATACCAGTCCGATTATTTCGTCATCTTCTTGAAAGAGTGTGGAGGGAACAGAATAGACTATATCCATACAAGCCTACACATCTTTACTAATGTTAATCTTCTCCAAATATGTAGTTAAATCCCAGATGTGTGAAATGAGTTCCAGTGCTTTAAAACCAAGAGAATGTTAGTCACTAGATTTGTCATCTACAAACATGATCATAGGCTGATATTTATACCAACAGCAACATAATGTAATGTTCTTTATATCTTTCTGGGAAAGAGACAAAATATGGTGGTCTTCAGATTGAATAATTTCTGAAAATTGAGGATGCTACTTTCGAAGTTCGTACATATATGCAAAAGGGATTGGTAGTTCATCTCTTATATTCTGGATAATTCCTTGATTCATTAGTTGGATAAGGTTTGATACATGTTGTGATTTTTTTTTATCTCATAGTCTCAATTACAGATTTAAATCTAGACTTTCAAAAGTTTATTGGGTTAAATGGATGCCAGTTATGAGAAATTTTACTGTACATCATGAGAGCATGGTGCAGGGAAGTGCAATAATATAAGTAATAAATTTGAAAAACATGTTATATATACAATGAAATGTATTAGTAAACACTTTTGTAATAAATATTAGGTATCTCTTGAAAGTTTAAAGCTATATCTTAAAGGACATATTGCATAAAAATGTACACTTGCTGTGTACTTTTATACATTTTAAAAATTACTCCATTGTCTATAAATCAATGTTTCATAGTCTATAAATATTTAAAATAGCCAGCTCAGGAAATGCAAAACCTAGCCTCGAATTTTGAATTAGTTTTTGATGTATTTCATATTTTGTAAGAACTTAACGAATTTTTTATTAATAACTGGAAGCGAGTTGTGGCAGCTTTGTTTGATTTTTTTTTCGGGAGGGGGGGTGTCGCCACTGCCCAAAATAAAGTGCTTTAATTTTCCATGCTACAACATGTTACCATTCAGTAAAGCATAAGTTATTTAACTTTCAAATTTAATCTGTTTGATATTCAGGAACAGGCCGAGTGATTTAAAATAAATGCAGTTTTTAAGAATATTGTTTCTAACTTTTAATTGATTAAAATAAAATGCATTTAAATCAGGAGATGTCTGATTAGAAGTATTAATACACTAACTGGTCTCATTAAAATCATTGCGTATTTTTTCCATTTTATAATTATTTTAGAAGGTTCACCGCACAGGCGTATAGTTTAAAAAAAAAAAAAGTAAACTCTATGTCTCAAGATGAAGAACTTCCCACTTCATGAATCAGCCACTGAAACTGTATGTTGTGCAAAGATAAAACACTTATATTGTTAACTGGAGTTGTACAGTAAATGTGGTGGAACTACACTTGTAAAATCACTGGTGAAGTTCTTGTGTTCCTCCCACTCCTTCCTCCCTGTCCATCCATTAATACAAAATAATGAAAAATGTTTTCCTCGAGTCAATTGTAACTTGTTATAAAAATGTATGTTTTTATGAAAGCATTTACTTTTAAGGAAATTATTTAATAAAATTTATTTATGTTTTGTAAAGTTTTGAAAATATGTATTTTTAAATATTTATTTTACCTCTGAAAATGTTTAAACTACATCTTTACTATTAGTAATAAATATTTTTGCTGTGTTAAAGTGATATAACTTATGTTTTTTTCCTCTAGGATTCGTATTTGGTAATTGAAAAGTATAAATCTGGTTATGATCCACCTGAAGATATTCCATTTGAGGATTTAAGTAACAGAAATGGTGATCTATCTAATACTGTATCATCAAATAGAACTGATATTCTGACAGTGAAAGGAACATTATCTGGAGGTAGATCTAAGAAGCGAGGAAGAATTTTAAATATCTTCAGCAGTGCAAAGGTAGCCATATGAAAATAAATATCTCTCTAATATGCATTTTCTTTGATTTATATTAGAATTTTAAAAAATTACCTATGAAAATGGCCAGATTATATTTAATAATAGCCTCTTCAAAAATGTAAGAAATTAAATATAGGAAAGCATATAGGTAGTGTGCTTTAAATAATAATCCATTATAATTTTAAAGTCTTACCTAAAGGTTAGTATTTTCATGAATATTTTTAACTATTCACTTGATTGTAAAGTGCAATTGATTTGTTTAAAAAGTTCAGTAAAGTAATATGACTGTAAGTCCTCCATCTTAAATGAGATTTGATTACTTTGTATTCCTTGCATTTAAATACCATCAAATCACGGATATGATGAATATTTAAAATTGGTACAGTGATGGAAATTTTGCTGATCTGAGAAAGAGGAAGTAGTGAATCTTAAGACTTTAGGTTACATAGTTGATTCATCTTTTAGGAAATGAAAATTTTTTATTCTTATCACTTTGTTTTATTTGCATATAAATGTTGTCCAAGTCTTGACCTGCAAATTCAGATTTTGCATTCTTTAGATTGTAACCATACATATCTTAAAGGTAAATTCATCAATATTTTTTTTATTTATTTTCATACAAATATAAAAACACTATTTTTATACTTTTGTAAGATAGCTACTTTTCTCATGAAATTGTATACAGCAAACCAAACTTCCAATTCCTTGAAGTTCCTTAACTTATAGTGGAATTCAACTGTATCTCCAAAAATCCTCACCTAAAAGAACAATTTGATTCCCTCTTTCCCCCTCCCCCATGCGAGTATGAGAGAGAGAAAGATGACCATGGGATAGATGGTGTAATAGTTTTTAAAAACAAAGAATAGTTACTATTAAAATGGTGTTAATGAAAGGAATTAGATGTGTTTTACAATCACTCATCACTGGCAGTTTAAAAATCTGTATGGATACAATCTCATGTTGTTAAGAACATTAGAAATTGGTATGAAAAATATTAAGAAAAACTAGTAGCATTGGTGCTGTTTCAAGAAATGCAGGCTTTTTGTAAGTGATGAAATATTTTACACCATTCATAATTCGGATGAAGGCTATTTTGCACATACATTGAAGGCTAGATTCACAGATACTGAATCAAGTTTACAGATAAAATGTTGAAGAGCATGTGGCGAGTACTACAATACAGACTTAACATTCTCCAAGCTAAATTTACCAACAGAGGAGTTAAAGAAATGTTTTCTGCAGTTATTACTTACTAAAAATCATACATGTGTAATGTAAATTTTTATACAATCAAAAGTCATTAATCCGGACTCGTCGGGACTTCGGCAATTCCGGATTATCGATTTTTCCAGATTATAGGTCATCAGTTTAAATCTGGTAAGATGGCATGCAGAAATTATAAAATTAAAAATATGAAACCATAATTTATGAAATAAAGAACAGTTATGATCTAAAGGGTATCAAAATTTACAAAAAAAAACTTAATATATATTTGTTTACTTTATTAAACATTTCTTTCAATGTAAGTTGTTTAAGTTGCTTCGTTTTATGTGATAATACTTTCTCTTTAATTCTATAAGCAGACATAATTTCTTGTTTAGTTACAAAGTTCCCCTGTTCAAGTCAGTCCTATAATTGGTGTTTCGAGAATACCGACTAATTTGTCAATCGAAATTTTTTCGTTTTCAATAACCTCTGTGTCACTTTCTTCACTATCGGAAGCGAATTATAATGACGAGGAATTTGATTTAAATCATATCAAAGATAGAATACATCGAGATGAAATACTACATTAAGTAAAGAATTATAAGCCAAATAAAATAAAAAGATCTGCCCTGAAGATAAGGATAGTGCTGACAGATCAACTTCCAATTCATTGCGCGCCGCGGCTTCCCCACACCCCACCCCGCCGCAGAGCAGCGTGAAATTGATAAACAGATTTCGGAATGGTTAGAGAAACAAAGGATATGCCTTTATCCATTTTTTGCAGCAATTCCACTTTTTGTTTAATGGACTTCGAAACATACTTTCGCTTTGTAGATCCTTTACATATTAGTAAATATATATTGGAAATTCTATTTGACATAATCAAAAGTTCAAGCTTACTTTTATAAAATTGCTCTAACAGTCTGCAAAAAATAATAAGCCGGATCCAAATTCAAAGATTAAGGAACAAGAAAGACAATCTGCAACATTAACTGAATTAGATAATTTTAGTTATACATTAAACGTGAATGCGTAAACGTATTACGCGCATGCACACACGCATATTCGCAGCCGTAAAGGTCTTACGCGCATGCGTGAATGTGTCACGTTGACGGATGCGCATAGGCGTTTATGCATGCGCGTAAGACCTTTACGGCTGTGCGTGTGCGCATGTGCATAATACGTTTATGCATGCATGCGCGTTTAATGTATAACGGACGGTATAAGCTAAAATTATCTAATTATCTATTTCAGTTAATGTTGCAGATTTCGTTGTTCCTTAATCTTCAAATTGGATCAGGCTTATTATTTCTTGCAGAATGTTAGAGCAATTTTATAAAAGTAAGCTTGAACTTTCGATTATGTCAAATAGAATTTCCGATGTTGGAGCTCCCAAAGAATCTACAAAGCGAAAGTATGTTTCGATGTCCATCAAGCAAAAAAGTGGAATTGCTGCAAAAAATGGATAAAGGCATATCCTTTGTTTCTCTAACCATTCCGAAATCTCTTTATCAATTTCATGCTGCTCTGCGGTGGAGGGGGGACGCCACGGCGCGCTATGAATTGGAAGTTGATCTGTCAGCACTATCCTTATCTTCAGGGCAGATCTTTTTATTTTATTTGGCTTATAATTCTTTACTAAATGTAGTATTTCATCTCGATGTACTCCGTCTTTGATATGATTTAAATCAAATTCCTCGTCATTATAATTCGCTTCTGATAGTGAAGAAAGTGACACAGAGGTTATTGAAAACGAAAAAATTTCGATTGACAAATTAGTTGGTATTCTCGACACACTAATTATAGGACTTGAACAGCGGAACTTTGTAACTGAACAAGAAATTATATCTGTTTATAGAATTAGAGAAAGTATTATCACGTAAAATGAAGCAACTTAAGCAACTTACATTGAAAAGAAATGTTTAATAAAGTAAACAAATAAATATTAAGCTTCTTCCTTTTTTTTTATATATATATATATATTTTGATACCATTTAGATCACAATTGCTCTTTATTTCATAAATTACGGTTTCATATTTTTAATTTTACAATTTCTGCGTGCCATCTTACCAGATTTAAACTGATGATCTATAATCCGGAATCGCCGAAGTCCTGACGAGTCTGGATTAACGACTTTTGACTGTATACTGAAATCTCTTTTTATCAGAGCAAGGCTTGCTGCTGTCCCTATACATGAAAGTTTTCAGTCATGAAGTTTTTGCAAACAAATAGTGTAATACAATTTTTTTTTAAACATGAAAATAAGAAATAATTTTTCTGTTACCCATCTTATAAGCTTTTTCACCCTCCCCCCCCCACACACACAAATAAGAAGACACTGAATTATTAGTGTGCCAAACAATTTTTAATCTTTTGCAAAATTAAAAAAATTTATTACCTTGAAGAAATCTTTTGAATATACATCATGCTGTATTGTAAATTTACTATTAGGTAAGGGCTTACAACCAAAACATAATGAAATGTTTAATATCTTTTAACTTTATATATTTCGATTTTTCCTTTCATTTTGAAATATTGTTTGTGTTGGTATTTTTGTTATCATTAAGCCTTTTGATTTTAAGCTAGTAAAAATGTCGAAAATGCTGCTTATTCTGAATTTAAGTCGCCAGATCCTTTTGAATATTGTTGTGTACTAAAACTTAAACATGGTTTGCTTTAAACTGAATAAATTCAAGTTACTTTTTTTAAATGAAAACATATTTTTGAAACATTGAAAGATAGAAAAGTATTAAATTAATTTATTAGAGATAAATATGGAAAAAATTTTAATTTTTAGTTTAAGAAATGTCATTTTATAATCTGTTTTGTGAAGAACAATACAAGATTTTGAAATCTGTGTTAACAAAGTAAAATATTTTGAAGTGCCAATATGATTGTGAAGGTCACATAAATTGAAAAGTATTTCATTTGTTAACATTCAAAAAAGAAGAAAAAATTTTCCCCCCGATAAACATTCAGAATCTATTTAATGACAGATTAATATTATTTTTAATAAATCTAATCAAATTAAAAATAGATAAACAGTAATCATTTATCTATTTTATGTACTTTTGTTTATATATATATCGGTATTTTTTTAGTAATTTTTTTTTTTTTTTTTATTTTAAAACAAAATTTTTTCAGTATTTTCCCATGCAATGTGCTTCTGAAAATTAATCAATTATAGATAAGAAATAAGAAATTTAGAATCTAATCCACAAAAACATGAAAGAAATAAGATTCAAAACCATTAAAATCCAGAATTTCCAATAGATCAATAAAAAATTAATCAGAAGAATTAAAAATAGTATTAAACTAGAAGGGGAATACAAAATGTGTATATAGGGAGAGGAATGCAAGTAAAATCTGACTTGACATTATCAAGAAGAGGTAAATTCAATTGAACCCCTTTCCCTAGGATAACCACTGTGTTTCTCTTGATGCACAATTAGCTGATGAACCATTTTAAATTATTTAATTATAGCAGTTCACTTGAAAATTTTGAATTCCTCCCGATGCAGAGGAAATCCATTAATGAAATATACAAAAACGCATCCATATGTAAAAAGTTCCAGTATCAAGTAAAGTAGAAGAAATTAATTAGTCACTTTTTACTGAATTTAAGATTGAAGTTAAATTGTAGAAATAGGAAACATACATAAAAATGAATAGAGAACATTGAAATCATTACAAACAAAGAACAAGACAAAGACCCAAAAGAATGAGATTCAAAAATAGATGTGTAGGTTTGCCAGTTTGGCTTCATTGGCAAAACAAATTGGTGATGGCAAGA